CGTTGACTTTAAGTGTGTAATTTTCCAGGCTTCCCCTCAAGCTTCATGTGAGTACATGCATGCACACATGCACATGTGTGGATTAAACACACACACGGGTTAGAATTTGGTTTATTTTAATTTACTGATTGCTTTCGTTCATCAAAGTGCTTTTTAAAAATAAGTGAAGTTAATGGCAGTCCACTCCTCTCTCATTCTGTTCTCCTCTCCAGGCTTTTTATCCAGTGCGAGAGGAGCTTGTTCTTCCCAAATAGTAGGAACATGATTTGAGTTGGTAGGTTCTAACTGTGCCTCTGAATAGATGACAACTCTGGGTTATAATGTCCTGTAGAGCCACAAGAAATCACTGTTCATAGCCTTTATACAAAAATAAACTCTGCTTTCTTTCTAGTTTCTTTTGAACTTTCTCTAGCAAACTGTTCTGAAGAGCAGAATAGCAAACTATTTAAAAACTGAATTTCTGGAGTTGGATATGGGCTTAAATTCTGATGCTACCGTGTGGCAGTAAGCAATCTATTTAACCTTTCTAAGTTTTAGTTTCCTTGCCTATCAAGTAGTTATTTGTGAAGACAAAATAAAATAATGTATGACATACTTGCTGTCACAGAATAATACTTTAGTAAAATGTATCTCTCATTTTGTCTTATTATAATACTAACTTGTATTTGCAAGCCATTTCATTATTTTTAAAGTATTCTACACCTTTATATTCCCATTTCAAAGGTAAGAGTCTTAAAGAGCACTGCCATTATCTACATTTAGCAATTATGGTGTTTTTTTGAGCATTTATGATTAGAACGACATTGGACTGGACTCTTTGGTTGTTACTAAAAAATAGAAGTAGCCACCCATTCTCTTAATGTGCTAAATGTCCGGTCCAAGCTAAATATAGAGACTGGTAGATTCAGTAAGGGAAGACTTCTTGGAGAGAGGAGTGCACATTTAGAATTCCGAGAAGCAGACGAGGTTCTTCCTCCTTGTATGGAATGAACTAAGAATCCAAAGACCTGCATTTTAGTTCCGTCTCAGACACTAACTAGATATCTTATCACGTAACCTTTTAGAATCTTAGTATCTCTGTTGATAAGATCAGTTTTCCAAGGGAGCTGCTTCCATTTTCCTGTTCTTCTGCTTAAAAACCTCTCCATTGCTCATTGAATTCAAGCCCAAATTCTGCGCTTAGCATTCACGGCCCTGTCTGCTTTTCTGAGCTTGTCTGCTCTAACCCTGCTGCATGTACCCCACACTCTGCTGTGGGTGTCGTTTCCTGAGTGCTTTCCAGGCTCTTTCTTCTGTCGTGGCCTGTCCTAAACGCTCTTCTCTATCTCTGCCGTGCTCTCCTACAGTGAACGGCGCTGCTTCCCACACAGCTGCCAGAGGCAGAGATCTTGTTGCTTTTCACATTCCCTCAGCATCCCTCATCAATCAATCATTTGCCTCTAGCCCTATTAATTTTCCCTGGTTAAAATCTTTACATGTGCTCTCTTCATTTCCTTTGCATTCTATGCATTAGGTTGGGCCTCCTTCACATCTTGCCTAGATTATTACACTAGCCTCCTAATGCCTTGCTCGTACCTTTTAAATCTGTTTTACACCCTGCTGGCAGGGTAATCTTTCTAAAACGCAGTTACAGTCATGTCATTCTCCTGTATATAATCCTTCAAGGTATTTCCATTAGTTTATGAAAAACAGCCAAAAGCTTTTCATAACCCACTTTGTATTGTAGTCATATGTGCTTTTGCTTTGTCTTTCTTCTTGATCAGAATCTACTGGAGAGTGGGGACTGTGTGTTACTCCGCTTTGCATTTCCCAAAGCACCTAGCAAAGCAGCTTGCAGTCTAGTAGGTGTTCACTACATTCCCGTTACATCAAATAGAATGAACATTATTGACTTTACCTTCCTCAAGGTAGATGTGATATTCAGTGAAATATTATATGTAATAGCATTGACACATTGGCCCATCCTCAGCAATATTCCCCACCCCCCCAAAAGCAAAGGTGATTTACATATTCATAAGTCCTTCTGAAAAAAATGCATTCTTTCAACGAGCTGTGCAACAAAACCTCATCTTCAAAAGATTGATGTTGGAGAGATGATAACTATTGCAAATCTCAAAAATAATAACATAGCTTTACAGACAGAGTTCAAAGGAGGCAGAGATGAGGTGCAGTCTATAACACTATCAGCAACAAAGAAGGCAACAGGACGGTGGATGAAGCCCAGGGCTCCCTACAGACAGCCAACAAGCATTTAATGAGCATCCCAGAGGGGCTTAATGTTCCATACTATTACTCAAGGATGTTTTCTTCTTTTCTAAGATCACTGGGTAAATCCACAAAGCCAAGTGGCCCATTGCCAGCGTTCAAATATCCCTCCTCTCTCATCTTCTCTCATCAACTTTTTCCTCCCTCTCCTAGTTGCAAGGCCTGGAGGAGAGGATCTGAGACGGGATGGCTCTTGTCCTGCTCCACTTTAAACACTTTTTCACCATAACAATGTTCCTCTGAAAGAGATGAAAACTTCTCTGCTTAGAATTCAGCGACTCATTCCACTTGGACGCATCACATTCTTTCTAGGGTGGAAACCCTGAATTCAAGTGCAGCTGGCCAAGTCAGGGAAAAAAACTTTAAGCTGCTTCTGGGAAAGAACTTAAGCCTTCCTACTGATGATGAGAAACAATTTTTACTCTTTGTAAAGGGTTAGAAGCATACTTGTGCTAGTGAATAACAATCTTGGACTTAGCCAAAAAAAATGCTTGGGTGGTCTTTCAATTACCATTATATTAAAAAAAAAATGTAAACATCCTAAATTCTTATGATAAATTTAATTCTGGAGAAGCACCAAAGGAGAAACAAGTACAGGCTGGAGTCAAAATAGGGGTGGATTACCAGATTTTTGTATTGTCAAACTATCTTTTTGCTATATGTACTCTTTTTCTAGCTAAAGCCAGAATGTTCGATGCTCTGTGTAAATGGGAATAGCCTCCATATGTGATTGCTTATAATATGCCAGGATCTAAGCTAAGAACTAACCCTGCAAAATTTCATTAAACCCTTGCACAGACCCTTAATGATGGACAAACCGTAACTGTCAAACTGAATCTACTTTTGCCTGAGAGACCAATGGGTATTTATTTATTCAGTAACCTGCTAGAATTATTTAGGACGACAGTGAAGCAGTGACAGAGGACGAAAGGTACGGCACTGACGAGGGTGCAATGTTTAATAGAATCCCAATAACGGAAGTAGTGTCGAAGGAACAGGACTGATGTAAATCCCCTTGGGCAGATCATCATCTCTTCTAGCTTTACAAATCATGAAAATGTGTTTCTGGTCTGCACATTTCTAGAGTCTGCTGAGTCCTGTAGGATCACTTAACACTATGCTCTCATCTAGGTTATGGGGAACCCAGAAAGAATGTAATTAGCCTCATTTTCTAACCTAAAACCTTGTGCAGTGGACCTAGAAGCTCCTAATCACCTGCTATGGTTTAAGGTCCCAGGGGTTGTACTTCAGTAGCGAACCCCGAGACGTTCTTTTATGTATATCTTGCCAAAATCTCTAAAGAACATCTATACAGCTTGGCAATTTACAGGACAAACCTTTCTCGAGTATAAAATAAACAAGAATTCATAAATTTTTTTTTTCTGTTTTGGACAGATTCACTGTCTGCTTCTTCCTTCCCTCCAACAAAAACAAAAAGAGTGACTTGTGTTCATTTACATTTCATGATGTTTAATTGTGGTGTTCTCTCGCAGGATGTTTTCCATTCGCTGTATTTCCTATGTTGGTAGCTTTTCATGTTCTGCATAAGCTCGGTGTCTCTCAGAGCTTCTCCACACTCATTGCAACTCTGTATTTTAAGCTTGTATTAGTTTTCCTGTTGTTATTGCTCACTCAATTTTTTGTTAATTTTTTCAGTCTTCCTCTTCCCCTTCCCAAAGGCTACCATAGTTGCCTTCAAAACACAACACAAGTTTTATCTGTCTTAAATCTGATGAGAGGTCGCTACTATTCTCTATAGCCTATAAGATAAAGTACCAACTTTGTGGTATTGGGATTTAAGGCGGAGTTTAATTACTTACCCTTCTTCCTTTCCAGATTCTGAATCAAGTGTGGGTTAGACGCACAAGCCAGATGGGGATGAAAATGTAGTGTCTGATTTATTGCTGATCATGCCGCATTGGGGCTTAGGCCAGAGACAGGCTAAATTATGGCTCCTCGAAATCCTTTCTTTGGGTTTACTCATACGGTTCAGGAAGAGGTGCTGGAAAACTATAGCCCATTTCCTTTTGGTGCAGGTTTTGGGGTCTAGGGATTGCTTTAGGGATTGAGGAATCAATCATCAGCCCATCTGCAGGGCTTATGGAGTCTCTGATGTAATACTTCCTGAACACCTCAGAGGGAGGACAGCCTATTCAATTCCTAGAAATCCAGTGGGCTAGCCACTAAGATCATGGCATGGTCCTCAATTCCAACCTGGTTCTGTCTCTTAGCAATTAAGTCTTTACTTCCTTGCCTTTTGTTACCTGCACTTGGAACAGTGGTGGGGGTTCATCCTTTAAGATCATGGCATGGTCCTCAATTCCAACCTGGTTTCTGTCTCTTAGCAATTAAGTCTTTACTTGCTTGCCTTTTGTTACCTGCACTTGGAATAGTGGTGGGGGTTCATCCTCGTGCATGTCTCTTTAAAATGGGGAAATGGCTGCCTTTTGGAGGTGGGGAGCATATAGCCAGAAGCGTTTGATCAAGACCTGGGAAATTAAGTTTCCTCAGCTCTCTATTCTTCCAGTATTCTGGTATTGCAGTATTACCTCCTTTCAAAATAGAAAAAAATCAGTCTTTGGGTTTTCGTAAGGATTGCTAGAGGAATAAACGATCGCTGTGATGAGGCCCTTCCTGCTGTCAGATGGCCAGCTTGGGCCAAAACTTTTAGGACTGTCCTGAAGACTGTGAAACACGGTCGAATTATTTTAACTTTGTCACCGTTGCTTCTGCAGACTCATGGAAGTGACCTGGATTGAGTTCCAGCACACAAATTGGAAAAATCTGCCCAGCTGCTTCCTTACCGCTTCCCGAGCAGGTAATGAAAGGCCATGCTCATCGTCCAGTGTCCCACCTGTTCTCAACCAGATCCACACTGTAATGTCTGCCGGTTCCAACACCCTGCTTCCAGGTACTGATCTCTGCATTAGGCAGGATTCTTGTGGGTGCCAGTGAGAGAAACCCAACTCAAACTAGATAATGGCCAGAAGTATGAAAGTCTAAGACAGTCTGTATTTTTATAACTGCTTTTAATGCCAGAGAAAAAAATGATCCTTCTTTTCCTAGAGGTATTATCTCACACGTGATGGAGAGGATCTGGTTAGCCTGCCTTGGGGCATGTGCTTCTCTCTTGACCATGGGCCGTGACCAGAGGGATGTGTTGCTCTGAGCAACCAGATCTGGGTCATGTGTACCTTTGGGGCACATAGGAGTGGGGGTGGGGGAGACACCCCTATCTTAACCATCCTGGAAGGAGGATGGGGTTTCCTGAAGGAAGAGAGCAGAACAAATAAGGAACATATGCCTGCTACATGGATCTTATTGCATTTTACGGTAACTCTATTACTGTCCCATTTAGCTTCCACTCAGAGCTACTGCACGGTGGAGAAGGTCACAGTTTGTCACTCTCACAAAGTCAGAAGGAGATGGCTAAGTCTGAATTTTACTCATTCACAAAGGGAAGAAAAGAGAATCCCCAAGCATTGCAGCCTTGTGGCCATGTGACATATTCTCTAAGCACCATAGCCAGCTGGGTCAACACCCCTTCAGTCATGCTGAGAAAGAACGCTGGCACAGCCATTTGCCCTGCTGAGCCTGGCGTCTTCCCTGCTGAAGCTGAGGCTCAGTGCAGCTATCGCCTGGGAGTCTGCAGAGACCAGTCCTGGCCAAGCCACCTGCTCTGGCTTTTCAGGGTCCCCCACACGCTGCCAAATTTTCCTAGGGCACAGGGGCTTCCGAATAGTAGGATGGAGCATTCTTCGTAACTCAGTGATGCACCCAGTTCAGGGTGCTGCACAGCAAAATGGCCTGTATTCCAGGTTTTTTAAATAATGTTTTTTTAAAAAATACTTCTTATTTTGAATTAATTTTAGTTTTACAGAGCGGTTGCAAAGACAGTACTGTTTCCATATGTGCTTTACTTAGCTTCTCCGTTTATTAACATTTTATAACTACGATGAATTTATCAGAACTAGGAAATTGTATTACTATTAACTAAATACAGACTTTATTAAAATTCCAGCAGTTTTCTCACTGACCTCATTTTTTTTTTTCCTCCCAGGGTATTGCATTGCCTTTAACCAAGTTTTTTTTTGATTTACTCACAGGACTACTTCTCTTATGTCAGGAGGATGGTGAGATGGATTAATTGCCCTAATGGCCTCCATTTGTCATCCCCACACGACCACACTTCTCACAAGGTAAAAGTTTAGCACCTCCTCTAAGGAGGTGGAGTCTACATCCCCATCCTTGAATCTGGGCTGGCCTGTGACTTCCTTTGGCCAATAAAATGCAGCAGCAGATATGGAGATGTGCTCATTCTGAGCCTGGGCCCCAAGGGACCATGAGTGCCGTGCTCTCTGTCTTGGACGCCAGCCTCCTTTGTAGGAACAATGCTGGACTAGCCTGCTGGATTGAGGGACTACATGAATCAGACAGGAGATATCCCGACTGAGTACTGAGGCCGTATAGTCAGCCAGGCCCCAGCTGACTGTAGAGCCATGAGTGAGACCAGCCAAGACCAGCTTAGCCTGTCCCAGAGCAGCAGGGCTACCCAGATGGCCTATAAACTCGTGAGCAAAATACATGTTTACTATTGTAAGCCGCTGAGCATTTGCGGTTGTATATATGTAACAATATTGTGTCGATAGATAACTGATACCAGGTCAGGATAGATTCTGATACAGGCCATCTGATGGCTCAGGTTTCGCTGTCAACAACAAGTTGAATTAAATTTGTTGAATTTTTCAAATTGTAGATCTTCTGGGGACTGATCTTAGACTTTTGTAACCAGATTTAGTGAGCTCATATAGGATTTACCTCTCTTGATCTGAGTGGGTTTGAATTGAAAACTCATGTGGAAATATATTTCTCCTGTAACACTGGATAGTTCTGGGTGCTTTTCTAACTCAGGGTGTTATTGGCTTATGTATACTGGCTAAAGTTTGGGGTCACCATAATACGTCCACAGGTTTTTTTCCCATCTAATTCTAAGGACAAGAAATCTATGCATATTTGTGCTAGGATTTTGCTGCTTTGGGTATTTCCCAAATAAGCTGTCTGTGTTGGCAGGGTTTTCTGCTGACTGCAGTGGGTACAAGTCTGGAATTTAAATTTGATGTTTTCAGCCATTGTAGATTAAAAAAAAATTTTTTTTTTCTCTCCCAGGGTAGCCAATGTCATTTTTTTCCTGTGGGGTCAAAACCAGTTAAAAAAGAACATTATATTATTTAGTATAATGTCCATTAAACAGCTTTACTTTCTCAGTCCGGAGCAAAATTCTGGTTCCCCTAGAGAAGGCTCTGGTCCTCTCTCTTCGAAGGGCTCAAGCTTTGCCTCTGCCCTTTCTGCTCCCTTGGATTCCTCTTTCTTCCTACTGGGAGAGTGACAGTTTTCTCTGAATACAAAGATGCAGGTTGCACTTCCAAACTTTTTGTCATTCTCCCTCATGTCTTACGCCTAACTCCCATGTGGAGGGGGTTTCAGTATCCCGTGGATGGGAAGCGATGAGGGGCTGCGGCACGTTCCTGAGCTCTGATCAGCAGCAGTCGTGGGGATTTGCTAGGTGAGGAAGGGGATCTAGAGGTCTGACTCCTGTTACAGGCTTTCAGACACTCCTGTTTGCAGGGGCCTTGCCCAACCTTTTCAGGCAGTTGTGCCCCCAGTGCCTGAGACTTCGTGGGTTTTGTGGAATAAAGCGCCTTGCTTCATGTTAGCTTTCGCCCCCTTCCCCCACCAACTAGGGCATTTGTTGTTCATCTTTCTTGGTTCTTTATCACTTTTCCAGCTTCCAAAAATGTGTCGATACCTCTTTTTCATTATCATATCCTCTTACATTCTCTTGGTCCTTGTGGGTTTATATCTTGATTTCATTTCTCCAGTCTTATTTTAGTGAGGTTTTGCATGAGAGCAACATCCATGTTCACCTGGCATGTTTAGCCTGAAGTCTTCAGACTCTTTAGATTTTTCTGAACATATATAAATTTGTCCTACTATAGCTCAATAACTGTTTTCTTCAGGAATCTTGTCTTACTTTTTAAAAAATTGCATAAATTATCTTAATAGAAGAAGGGGTTGGAACTAGGGAGTTTAGATTTTTTAAAGTAAAATTATTTTTTACCTGTAGGGATTTCAGTAACTCTTAGAAGAATAGCAATAAAACCTAAACCTCACTGGGCACATCTAGCATTTGATTACATGTGGCTTTTGTTCAAGAGAATGGATTCTGTTTTCTTTTCACCATTAGTGCTCTCATTAACACAAAGCTCATATTCATTCTTATTACAGTCATCACTCATTTTACCTGGGGGTCACCACACAAAGCGGCTTTGGTGCTACAGCTTCTCCTCCGTGAACCTGATGATGGCTGTAATAGTGATGGTATAAGGCAAAATGTGTTCCATAGCATATCAAGGATGTGACATTATAGTCAAATCATATGTAAGCTTCCACACATGCAAATATTATTTTTAAAAAATATAAACTGGGTCATAACATACCCACTGTCTTGCAACTTGTTCATTTCTCTTTATATACAGTCAGTCCCTTTTTTGTGAAAGAACTTCTCAGGTGGTTTCCAATTTGAAGCAACGTTGTAATAAACAAGCTTTGATAAACTTTTTGCTCATTTGTTCATGTATTTCTGTAAAATATTTTTTTCCGGAAGTAGAATTCTGAGTCAAAGGGCCTGCCCCTCTTACGTTTTCATAGCTAAGGACAGATTGCCTTTCGAAAAATTATCAATTTATACTTTCCAAGCAATTGTCAGAAAGCCTATTTTTTCATTCCCCCTCCAAAACCGTATTTATTTTATCCTTGTAATCTAATCTTTGCTGATCTGATAAGTGAATGGTATCTTCTTAGCACACGGTCTTGATTATCATCATGACAGTGTGGCTCCTTGGGCTACTTCCCTTCTCCATGCACTAACAGATACTTTTCTCCTATTTCTGATAAATAGTAAAAGAGTGAAGTCGCCCTAAGGTTTTCAACAGGTCCAGATGCTTGTTCATTAAAGAGTGGTTGTCCTTGAGAATGTAAAGGACTTGAATAGCTTATCTTGTCCACCTCTTGGTTCTGTCACCCGGGTAACATTTTTAGAAATATACCAGGTCAGGGTTCAGATGCTTTCTCCCCAGTGCCTCTCTCCTTAGTGCTCTCTGAGAAGAGTTTGAAATCTCAGTAATAATTGTCATTAGCTGGAGGGAGAATAATTTCTTTAACTGCCTTTTCTGGTGCTTCAGTGCAATCTTTGGAGCTTCTTTCTGTATCAGTTCCTCGTGGCCTTCACTAGGGATATATTCTGATTCTTCTTTCTTGGGGTTTTGAAAGGTTTTCACTCTCCGCTCCTTTCCTCCCCCATGGGGTTTCCCTCTTCACCTGAAGCCCTGTGAGAAGGTTCCTAAGGAAGAAACAGTAAAATAATGCCTGACTTACACCTGAGAAAGAGAAACAAACTGGCTAAAGATGTTCGTGTCCTCGGGTTAGAGCAAGGAAGTAAATTGCACACCTATTATGCATCACTTCAGATTCTCTAGACTTCACCTCTTACTTGAGTCATGTGGGCTTCAACCAGTTTTGGGAAGTGAAAATTGACTGTACTTTATCTTGAACCTTTTTCTTCCTGTACTGGGGCTTCTCTGAGGCTGTGGTGTGGGATGCCATAGGACCCATTTGGCACTAATGCACATGGCTCCTGGATTTGCTGGGGGAGTTAACACCTGGGGACAACCTTGATCATAGAGGATGGTGCTGCCAGATAAATTTGTTTCCCTTTCTTCCTCTAGGTGGATAGTTCTGAGATGGGTTTTATAAGACTACTTAGAAGGTTCTACAGGAATGAATTGCCCATAGCAGTGGCCAGTGCTTCTGTGGTAGGCTGAGTAATGCCACCTCAACGATGTCCCTGGTATCTGTAAATATGTTATCTTATATGGCAAAAGGGACTCCTCAGATGTGATAAAGTTAAGAATTTTGAGACAGATAGGTTATCCTGGGTGTTTTCAGTGGGCCAGGTGTAATCACAAAGGCCTTCGTAAGAAGGAGGGAGCAGTGTTAGAGACAGTAGAAGGGTAATGACATGAGCGAGAGGATGGAGGGAGGTAAGAAAGGTGTCATGAGCCAAGAAATACTGGAAGCCTCTAGAATCTGAAAAAGACAGGGGAATGAATTCTACTTTCAGAGTCTCCAAAATAAAACAGCCCTGTCAACACCTTGATTTTAACCCATAAGATTCATTTCAGATTTCTGACCTCAGGACTATAAGGTAATACAGTTGTGTTGTTTTAAGATACAGAAGTAATAGGAAACTGATACAACATCCATATTTCATTCTCTCATTCCTCAATCCCACTCCTAAATTAAGTAGATTGCATTCCTAAATTAAGTGATCTTATAGAAAACTTTGTCTCAGAGTCTGCTTTGGGTAGACGGTTGTGTGTGTGTGGGTGACCTCAGGACTATAAGGTAATACAGTTGTGTTGTTTTAAGATACAGAAGTAATAGGAAACTGATACAACATTCATATTTCATTCTCTCATTCCTCAATCCCACTCCTAAATTAAGTAGATTGCATTCCTAAATTAAGTGATCTTATAGAAAACTTTGTCTCAGAGTCTGCTTTGGGTAGATGGTTGTGTGTGGGGGTGGGCAACCCTGGCTAAGACGGGAAGTAACTGGACTACTACTGACAGTTTCTATGGTGTGTTTTTCCTGAGGACCAACAGTTGGTTGATATTAGATTCCATCCAAGATGGCATTGACAGGGAGAGGGAGCCTCAACTGAAAAATGCTCAAGTGTCCCTAATGACCAGAGATGGAGGGAGAAAGTGCAAGTTATTAGCCAAACTACACCTCCAGGTCAGGGGGTTAAAGGTGAGGTCCCCAGTAACGGGGAAGGCAATTTGTGTGGAGGGTCTATCATCAGGGTCTAACTAGAAAAACAGAAACAACTACACATCTTTACAGCGGAGGAAATTTATTGTAGGAAGTTGTTTATAGAGGTGACCAAGGATGGAGAGGTAGAGGATGGAGAGGTAATCCAGAGAAGGGTAAGACAGGAAGTCACTACACTCTGAGGTTGGAGGACAAAGTGAGAGGTGGCGTTACTAGAGCCCATGTGGAGCCCATGGCCTGGGACCACTGGGAAGAAGCTGGAATCAGGGTGGGACTCTTCAGTGAGAGCTGAGCTTCTGAAAAAGCACGGCCACTGCCAGAGAGGCCCC